AGTATATATATATATATATATATATATATATATATATATATATACAGGGTGTTCTATTTTAACTTAGCAACGTAATATCTCGAAAACAATGCAGTTATAAAAAAAATGTTTCAAAAAATGTTTCCTGTTATTATTAATGTAAAAATTAAAAATTTTTTAAAGACATGGAAAAAACGTTTCTTGATGCTTGACGGTTAAAAAATATTAGATACATATAGGAAATGTATATGAAACGAGTATGCTACCTGGGAATGGTCACCGACTTGGAAAATGTGATTTTGATGACAAAAACGCGTTTCAAGTTTTGTGTCATGTTTACACCTAAATAAAAAATTAATTTTATAACTTTATACTGAATTACATCAATTCCTGATCCATATAATAGTCTTTCTGCATCAGCTGCTATCTTTAAAACTTCAATTTGGTCTTGTCTATGACGCTGTCTTGCCTCGCGTGTACTTTGTTGCGCGCGATTGTTAGCCTTTTTTATGTGCTTCTCATCCTTCTTCGCCGCATGCAAATGAGTATACATTCAGATTCATGTGACTCGCACCAATCTTTTAATTCCCCAGTGCCTTCCTTTTTATTCCAAAATTCACACGTTTTACAATAAGAACTTTTAACAAGAATTTTGCCGCTGTACACTGTTAAATCTGTAGTGTCAAATTATACTCGAATTGTGTCACTTTTAACTATTTCCATATGTCGCCACTGCTCCTACTAAATATGTCGTTAATTTAACTGACAATAAAGTTAAATAATTTAATTTAAAAAATGTATTACATTTGACTAAAATTTAGTTTATTTCTTACTATGTGCATATGTTAATGTAAACTTTTGATTTAATCAAAAATGACTCACTATTGTGTTTTAATTTACTAATATCATTAATCTACAATGTGTCAAAAATTACTCATTACTTTGGTTAAATATTACTATTCTTATCGTTATTCTAAGCACAGAGTGATAAATAATTAAACTTATTATACATAGTTATATTTAAAAAATTATACAAACACATTTTAATAGAGTCCGACCGAAATTTCGGTTTCGGTTTCGGTTACGGCCAGTTTCGGCCAAAAATCAAGGTTTCGGCTTAATTTCGATTTCGGCCGAAACTAAAAAAAGTGGTTTTGGTCGGACTCTACTTTATAATATATTATTTTTTATTTTGTAATATTGCGTTTTATTTGTAAAAAATACTTTATATTTTAATAAGATATTAATAAATCATATTTTAAAAACAATACATAAATTTTACACATTTTCCAACGGTTTTTTAAAAATCATATAGCTTTTTATAAAACTCCTCCAAAAATTTTGGTTTCTGTTTCGGTTTCGGCCAAAATTGAGTAAAAACCGAATATTCGTTTTCGGTTTCGGCCGAAACTAAAAAAAGTAATTTCAGTCGGACTCTACATTTTAATACATTTTAAGTATAAATAGGGTAAATATAAATATGTATCATGTATGTATGTGTACATATGTTTTATTCTGAAAGCAACCCAAATTCACTGCAGAGAGCATCTTGTTGCCGTGAATATCGTCGTACAAATTCTGCATCTATCTAAAAGATAGATATTACTTTCCTTTTCTTCTTTTTTTTTTGCAAATTAGCACTCTTTCTATTATAAATTAAGTAGCACTTCAGGCACTCTTAGAAGTATACAGCTTATTTGACGGTATTTTCTACACGGCTTGTTATCGCTCATAGCAATGCCACCGCTATTCATTTATTTTATTGGATAGTAGCGCTGCTTACTTTGAAACTAATAGCGTTTTTCACTGAGCCGCACTGAGTGCGCACCGAAAACTTGTTATGTAGCAGCAGCACTGTACGAGGTTGCCGAAAGTACGAATTTCTTGCACTCCCAGCTAAACAATAAACTACATGTGTCAAGTGCCAAAAAGTGCAATATTTCTGGATTTACGAAAAATGATGGAACAATAAGAGAAATTAAACATTTGCTTTAAAGTCAATAATGACATGCTATCATTAAAACTTCAATCAAGTGAAATAGATTTATTCAATAAATTGATAATGTGTCAAAAATGATAATATGTCCAATTCAGCAGAGATAGATTTACTACCTCCGTGAGTTCTATCAGACGGATAGAATTGTGAAATTGCGTAAATATCAATTATTTTATAAGCTGTTGCTCTTGCAACACGAAAATGACTTTTGAACTGTAACAATAATATATAGTTATTTGTAGCACTTATATACAACACATGTATATATTTTTTCACATAATACAATACCAATACAGTACAATAAACAATACCTGTACAGCAACAATTAAATTATTAATAAATAATAAATATATAATCACGACTTACGTCCTTATCCGTAAGATTATATACAACATTAATAAAATTTTCGATTTTTGGAATTTTTTGTTAGATTTCCTTTTGTTATTTCATCTTCATCACTGCTAGATGATGAAGATAGCAAATCTAGCAATTGAAGAGCATTAAAAATATCGCGCGCTGCCATCTTGCACTCAACCGACACCGTCTCTTAGAGCTCGTGTCGAATTTATGCACTAACGTGCAAAAACTCGGCACTCAACTTCTCACTGAAACAGCGCGCTCCGTCTCCGTGCGCACCGAAACGCCCAGTGAAATACGTTGCCCTCATCTAGTGCGCACCCAGTGCGCACCAGTGCGACCAGTGAAAAACGCTATAAGCAATTCAACCACAGAAATGGGTTGATTAGATGTAGTTGTTTCTTTAAACACATGTTTTGTGTTAAAATAGTAATTTTCGACACATACGATAGTTAAAAATAACTAAATATTATTTAACTCACAAAATTGCTTTAAATTTGACCCTTTAATATTTAACAGTGTAGTATCCGATAACTGATGAAATGCCGTAGAGAGAACTAAAGCCTCATTTTTTTCTACATTTCGTCCCTGGAAGTTGTTAATTCTGATGTTTTTTCGAATACTTTAGCTATCTCTTGAATTTCTTGTTTTACAGCATTTTTTAGAATTAATTTGCAAATATTTGCCTACTTGTTTCAAACATTCGCGCGCGAGCGCTCTTTCGAGAAACATAATTTAGATGCCTACAAGTTTATCAGTTTTGTTTGGATTGACTTGAAATTTGCAGGGAATATTTTTAAGATGTACTTCAAGAAAATATCAAAACCCAAAAATCGAAAGTTTCTAAGTAGGCGTTCTTCCTTAATAAATAGATCTGTTGATGTCATAAGTCATTCACAGCATATGCAATTGTGAAACTTATGCAACATAATCCCGAGATCCCATGTTATTGTACTATATACGCTTCTTGATTTTCATGTATAATGTAATAAATGCTATAATTTCTAAAGTAATATATAGCGATATTAATACTGTTATGTTGAACCAATAATCGACGTGCTTCATACCCACTTCCATAAGAAATTTTTCGGGAATAGAGAAATGACAGTAATCCATTGAACATGTCAATTTCGCTCGATCATAGCTACGGTTATAAATATCATTTTTATAATAATATTTAAAAAGCTTAATTTAATTATTAGCAACGATTTGAACATTTGTAACAACTTTGAATTTATAATACAAGTAAATTATAAAAAGTATTTTTGATACATTAATTAATTATTAAATATCATGTGTGTGCAAAGATAAAGTCTTACCCATAAATAGCTATCATAACTCCTTCAAAACCATATTTAGGGAATGATATGTGAAGCAGCCACTGCAAGTAAGGATGCGTATCTTTAAGATGCACGAAGAAACCACTAAATAATACAAATGGCATAATTGCCAATGGCCCAAAAATTACGCTATTCTAAAACACAAAAAGTATTTTCCAACTTATACAAATTAATTGCATATAATATACACTGTGTTGCTTTAATTTCGCAATTATATAAAATAAAAACTGTTTTTTAATTTTTAATTAATTAAGATTTAATTAATCTCAAAACAATATGTAGCTCAAAATAAATACAAACCTGAACTTTTAGGGCTATACCTATAATAAGACCAATAGTTTGAGCAACAAGACAAATAAGGAGGCACATAAGCATGTACAATCCAAGTCTTTCGCTTTCAGGAAGCTGGTCGCTCATAAAATATACTATAAAAGTGTAAATAAACGTGGCAGTAAGTTGAACGGGAAAATCAGCTAATTTGTTTGCTAGATAGTACGTTCGTAATTTGTACCAACGATTAAAGTGTTCTCGCATAACTATCGGTAACTCCAAAGGAACTACGAAGCAAACAAAAATTATTGAGGTTACATTTTAACAAGTATTGTTAAATCATATATAATATAAATAAAACTAAACATTGTATTAATTTATGAGTAGAAATTTTATCCAAATTTGTATTATTTGCAATTTGCATAAAATTTCTACTCGTAAATATATATCCCAGCGAGAAATGACTCTTCGAATTGATGTCGGGTCGACATCAATACGATGCAATATCGATGATTTCGACGTCAATTAGATATTGGTTTGACGTCAATTGATAGGTCATTTCTCGCTGGGATAGTAAAGAAATAATCTTTAATGTATTATAATTACGGTAAAAATTGGAAAAATTTCAATTTTTATAATGTTTTCTTTTTTTATCTTGTTTTTAAAAGCTCTAATGTATAAATATCGCGCTTAAAATCAAATTGTATTAAAAATAATAAACTCACTCGTGATCATTGTAGCGCTAAACGCAGTGAACATTAAAAACATAATGCTGAAGAATAACATATTGAAATTATCTAAAACATAAGCAGCGTCTTGACCAATCTTGAAGTATAAAGTGCCGACAATCAGAGCGATCATAAAGTGTATTGCAATCCGTGTAAGTGTTAATATCTATACAAAATAATTTTAAAAATTTATTAATATTAGTATTATTGCTGTTGTAGAATGTTAATGTAAATTAATATACACATATACAAATATATACATATATAAACAATCATGGCAAATAAATTTTATATTTTATATTTTAAAAAATTTTATTAAAAAAGTTTAATATTATTTCGAAATTGATTAGTCTAAGTAAAGCATAAGATAATGCAAATAATTTTGAATGTGATAAATAAATTTATCTTAATGTAATCTTTATGTATGTTGAACTATTCATATATTTTTTACTAGCAGCTGGATAATTATGAATTTCTTGAAATTGATTTACATAATTTGTATATTTTATCTGTATGCAAATGCAAATTTCTTTCTAAAAATAATTATATGGACGATATTTGCAATGTAGTAAATATATAATTATATTTACAATGTACAAACAATATTACTCTGTCACGTAGTAACTTAATTGCGTTTCTTTTAATAAGAACGCAAAGCTGTTTCCAGAAATTTGCTGCGTAATGTGGAGTCTGCTTGAATTCCGTTTCAAAAGAGTGTAATCTCATAGAATAAACTTGTTGTGAAGTGACAATTTCCTCGTGTTTGTTCAAATGTAGAGTTTTCGCTGACCTCCATATGTTACTTTTGCCATTCTCGATCGATTCCACCAACTGAGATATATGAGAACCATAATCTCCATTGCATATTTCCATCACTAGCAAAATAAGAAGTTTTAAACTACATCAGAGAGATTTTTATACACTACGCGATTAATTTACTTCCAAAATCTTTTAATCATTATACGCTCTTATCAAGTCATATAAAACAATTTTCACAGCATTCAAAATCTGTTGTCCTTTTAACATATCCTAACATATTAAATTTGATCTCTGTGAAAAATTACTATAATATTTATTGTGCAAAATATCCTATTCTAAACAATGCATCTAAATACTCAGACAGCACACATGTCTAAAATCGGGACATAAGACATCTTAAAGACATCATTAAGACGTCTTTTAGATACCGTGTCTAAAAGGCGTCTTAATGACGTCTTTAAGCCGTCTTATGTCTCGATTTTGGACATGCGTGCTGTCTGGGTATTTTTTTTAGTTTGAAACATTTTTCCCAAAAATGTCTTGTTTTCAAAGAGTATGTAGTTACAGAATAAAATAGAATAAGACATTAAAAATAAAACATCTTATGTAGTGCAGATCAAATACATATATCAGTTAAAAAGAAAAATATTAGTTTGTCCTTCTTGTGCTAATTGCTTTAAAAGTGCTACGCATTGCTTCGAACTGACGCTATCTATGATCTAATAGATCACTAAAAAACAGTTAATAAAGATTTAAAAAAAATAATTACTGATATTGCAAGATAAACGTTTGATATTTTTTTCGGAAAGAATTAAATTTGTTTATCACAGTATAATCACTTGTGTGATTATTCGATACATCTCTTGTCGAGTATCATAGCTTCCTTATAGACAAACTTGTGTATTTAGAAACTGTTAAATGCTTAAAAAAATGCAACTTACGGAAATCAATGGGATTGTAATGCATCGGACAGTTTAATCCTAGATTATTTAGATATGGCACCAGATTTTGCGTACTGCCTGTGTAAACACAATTTCCATCAGCAATTACATAAAGATGATCTATCATGTTAAGAAGCGTCGCACTTGGTTGATGTATCGTACAGATAACAGTTCGTCCTTCTTGTGCTAATTGCTTTAAAAGTGCTATGCATTGCTTCGAACTGACGCTATCTAGACCACTAAAAAACAGTTAATAAAGATTTAAAAAAAATAATTACTGATCGCAAGATAAACATCTGATACCTACCTTGTAGGTTCATCGAGGAATATGACAGGTGGATTATTAATTAATTCAAGTGCGACGGCAAGTCTTTTTCTTTCACCTCCACTGAGCTCGTTAGTGCGTGTTGAACGAGAGATGTTGAGATTCATTACTGTTAATATTTCGTTGATCTGCAAAATTAATAAACTGTTAAATTACAAATATCATAACAATATTGTAATAATATTATTACTATTACTGTAATTTATATTTGATATTATATATATTAGGTGTTAAACTTAGTTTCCGCCGCTCACAAGTAGATCGTGCCAGCTGCAGACGAAATAAGTTTTGATGTTTGAAGTTGCTTGTCTTATGAAGGATGAACATTAATCAATACAATTTAGTGTGCAAAGATTGAGTATTGTGTAAACAGAGATTTTTTAATCGATGAAAAATGAATCGTAATAAAGTATTTTTTCGACATGTACTTCTCCACTATTTCGACATAAAGAAAACTGCAGCTGAAACACATTGCTTACTGTCCGAGACTTATAGTGAAGAAGCTCGATCAGAAAAAACGTGTAGAGAGTGGTTTCAACGTTTTCGTAATCGACGCAAAGTGATCCTTTTGAACGACAATGCGCGACCGCATGTTGCAAAAACCGTGAAAGACACTTTTGGAGCTCGAATGGGAAATTCTTCCACACCCAGCGTATTCTCCAGATTTGGCTCCATCGGATTATCCCTTTTATCGGATTATCACCTTTTCCGATCGATGCAACACGCGCTCGGAGACACACACTTCTCCAGTTATGAAGAAGTTCAAAAGTGGGTGGATGAATGGTTTGCTTCGGAAAATAGCGCATTTTATCGACGCGGAATTAGTCTCCTGCCAGAAAAATGGGCAAAAGTCACAAAAAATAAGGGAAAATATTTTGATAAATGTATTTATTTTACTCTCTTTCTAATAAATGAGTTTTGTAAGACGAAAAACGGCGGAAACTTTAACTTAAGTTTAACACCTAATATATATATATATTAAAATTTACATTCATAATGTATTGTTAAATAATAACACAAAAAACATAATGATTGCGATACAATGATTTCCATAAAGCACTTGTTTTAATTGTATACATACATTTGCATTGTGCATGTATGTTACATGTGATACGATAAATTTATTCATGAAGATACGGCGTGACACAATTGAAAAAAATTTCTTATATATTTAATAAAATCTACCCTCTGCACTTTTTGACAATGGTTTAATTTGAGTTTCAGATCGGCAGCGACGTACATCGCCTCCTGCACCGTCAAAAATGGTTGCAAATTGTCGTCCTGCATTATGTAGGCGGACAATTTTCGAAATTCAGACATGTTCCTTTCCCGTTCGTTCACCTTGATTTTGCCAGTAATCGAAATTGTCCTAAAGCACAACATTATGCTAATTTATTTATTTGGCAATTTTTTAACCTTTGGAATATGCAATGAAATGGACAATTTTAACCGGTTCTAGACGGGCGTACTATATATAGTAACTCGAATATCTCGAGAACGGATTAATATTTTTTAATGAATAAAGTATAATTTTAATCAGGATTTTAGGTCTACATTTTGATGTAGTCATCACCCATTACCCTTGTATGTCATCACCCATTTCCATCATACTTGCAATTTTCGATTTTTTAAGGTCGCGTTCGCTCGTTATTTAATAGAATTCGAAAAATTTTTCTTAATTTATTGTTATTGTTGAGAAAAGATAAAAATTTTGTCGAGAATAGTATTAGAGAATAATAGTAGAGAATTTTATTAAGAATAGTAAAGAAAAGAAAAAATTAATTTCTTTGATTGTTGAAAAAAGTTTGATATATCATGTCTTCTAATTGTAACGTCGGGCTCTGTGTAAGTGATTGTTTTGAAGTTTATCACACAAAAACAAACTTTTAGTGCATTGTTATTTACTAAAATCAACATTTCAAATAAAATTTAAAAAAAAACCCCCGTTCTAAAAGGGTTAAATATCAGTCTACTATCAAACAGAAATTATTAATTGGTAATTAATAATTGCGTAAGTGCTTTAGCCTAATTAAGATTACTAATTAAGAAACCAGATAACTTAAAAAAATAAAAAATTTAATGGAACAAATATTGATCTAATTTTGTAACACTTTAATTTAAAACATAGGAATTAGATGATTATTTTATCGGCACGTTACAATGATATCTCTATGAGATAAAAGATAAGAAGAAAAGGCTTATTTATGCGTGCTCGGCTATCGCCGCGCATATCGCGATAGATGCACTTAAACAGCAAACGGACATTGATATCGACTTGCCATAAAATACTCTTATAATGTGGTATATTCGTGCAACCTTGAACGTGACAAACCAGTACACGTGTCCCGTGACTTCGCAACGGCTTTACAATGCGTGCGATCATAATGCCTTCGATCGTAATACTTCGTGAAGACACGGCTCCGGTATAGATACGGTTTTATCTTACTTCTATCCGGAAGGTTCACACACGATCTAATCGTTAAAGAAGACTTGTGCGATAACAGAGAGATTGCATGTACGATAATCACACTCAAGGCTGTTTTTCGATATTTGACGATTGATTTCGATATTTTGGTTATATGTTAATATTCAAAATATGCTTACAACGTGTATAATTGAGTTTTAAGAATGAATAATAGGCTGTCGAATAATTATACATTGTGCACTTGGCTTATCGGTTCTTTATCTATGTCTTTCTCATTTGCAAAATTCTACACACATCAAAGTTTTCTTACAATTGCTTACAAATTAAATTTCTCTCAATTTTTGTCTATATTTCTATCTATTTAATACATGAGGATCTGTTGTAAATGAATCAATCTCTTGTTACTTTTCTTTAGAATTAGTATTTCAGTAAGTAAAAATGTTAGCGACGTTGAAAGAAATTTGATAAAAAAGATTAAAGAAAACTTGAAAAAGCCTTCAAAATGGGACATAAAATGCATACTAACGTGAAACCTGCTAGGATGTTCATTAATGTCGATTTTCCAGCGCCCGAAAGGCCCATAATAGCTGTGAGTTCACCCGGCCGAAAGTCGCCATTAAGCTCGCTCAGCAATTTTTTTTTTTCTACAACAGAAATCAAGAAAGATCAAATATAAATAATGTGAATATAGATGGCAGAATAATAATATTGTTTTGTAAAAAAAATTTAGTAGATGCTAGCACAAGAAAAAAATAACGCTTTTTAAACTAACGCACTTGTATAAGATCTGTATATCAATATTCTTGAAATCGATGTCCCAATTACGGTCTAAGTAAAATTGTTGTGTGCATCGAAGTGAAAGTTTCACAGGTGAGAAAGGCACGTTGCCAGTGCAGTATGTTCAGTTGATATTCAACTGCATATTAGAAGTGACGATACTTGCTACCAAAAAACAATTTACTATATTATTAAAATTATACAAAAATTTCTAATATATATTTTGAACAATTTTAATATTTTATATATTTTAACATCTATGTAAGTTTGTCTATGAGAAAGCTATGATACTCGACAAGAGACGTATCGAATAATCGCACAAGTGATTATACTGTGATGAAGCAAATTTAATTCCTTCCGCAAAAATATTTTTCTTTTTAACTGATATATATATATATTTGATCTGCACTACATAAGATGTCTTATTTTTAATGTCTTATTCTGTAGCTAAATACTTTGAAAACGAGACACTTTTGGAAAAAATGTTTCAAACTAAAAAAAATATCTAGGTGCATTGTTTAGAATATGTAGCAAGTTTCCAGCCTACATAATTGCAGGATCATAAATGGAATAGAAGATGAGGAATAATCGAGTGATGGTTAATCGAGGTTCTACTGTATTCAATTTTAATACTACAAACGCATTTTTCAAACTATTGCCGGGAAACCAGGATTATAGATATAAATTATTATGAAATAAAAAATATAAATATCTTATATATCAATTTTTCAATTTCTTAATAATAATTGACATTTTTTAATGCACGATTGATCACAGTACCATATTCAGTGTATTTTTAAAAATGACGCGATTTCATGTGCGTATACATTGATCTAATTAACATCTGACAATGAGTTATAATCGATTTCACAGAACAGAACAAGTTTTTTCTCAATTAGACGCATTGATATTCAAACTGGAATCTAATCGTATACATTGTGAATAATAAATATAATTCTCAACAGTTGGTCTTTATCTACTTTTGTTTGATTTACTGTTAAATTTATCAACGTATACGAATAAGTCATGCAACATCCAAAAGTGTAGGAATACCTTTTATGTGATTAATCAATCAAAGCGCATTAGGAACAATGTTTAAAGGCGAGCTATAGAATTAGTCAAGACAAGTGAAACAATCTTACTACTTTGCCATACTTCGAAACAATAAGCAGTTCTGACATCATATATCTTATCGATTCTAAAATACTTCAGCAGTGATTAGCGTCTTTGTTCGAACAGTAATTATTCATCTTTTAAACTGTGGATTAATCAATCAATTTAATCCCAATTTTCATATTTATGAAATAAACATAAGAATGGTCTACTTACCACTTTCTCTATTCATATATTTAAACTTAATTTTTTAATATAAAGCTTACAATTATTTTTCTATTGTGAATGAATATTTTGTGCATTAATTGTATCGCAGAATTATATTTTTATATTATTATATTTTAGCAATATATTTGCTCGTTCCTTTTTTATCAAATGTTATAATTTTTCATATTATTAAAAGCAATACTTGCACAATGTTGTCATATAGTCAAATCTTTTGTTATATAATCGATTAAGTGTGCTTAACTGTTAATTAGTAAAAATATAACAACATTAATATGTTACGACAAACATTTACATTATTATTATAAGCAAAACTCAATATACGAGACTAGGCAAAATGCATGTGTAATATATTATTTTCTCATGCAGACATGGCATTGTGACAAGAGGATGATACTAGTTAAATTAATCCTCATTATAATGACTATAGCGTCATGTTATGTTAATGTATGTGCACGCGCGAAAGAACGTTACCCATAGTGCGTAGCGTGCACGCGTAACTGCGCATCATTCGTTGAAGTATTAACTATTATACCAATGATATACGTTCTCTCATAAAAATTTTATTTTTAATAAAGTTGTTATGCTGATGAATAGCGGTGAATGTGTCAGTGGTGAATGTGCCAGTCGCGACAAAATATAGACAAATTAGTGATTAAATAATTAAGGAAAGTAAAAAAGTAAAGAGACTTTTTTGAATCAACTGAAAATGCATTATAATTTATACTTCTACTATATTTTGCTACAACAAAATTCATGTATATTAAATGTAAATCACACGAATGGCAGTTTGTTAATATGAATAAAAATATTTCTTACTATCGTTGCTGCGCGACTTTCACAAAATACAATATTATGAAAGTTTTATGAGTTGAAAATTAATTAGATGTAATTAATACGTCATACTTCCAATTAGATATTTTTAAGCGTCTGTATATGGCTATTTACGCTTATCGCAAATGACGTTTAAAAAGTTCGGAACTTATCTGAATACCTTATTGATTAAACATTTGATTAAAAAAAATTGAAACAAAATTCGAAATAAAAGTGTAAAATAATACAGTAGGTGTAAGACAATACCTTGTGTTATTAATTTATTAATTTATTTTAACGACTGGCTTATTAGTTAGAATATATTATTATGTAATTTTAAATAATAATGTAACATGATGTTGACGCGTGATCACAACTAAAAAAAGGTCGAAATTGGGAATATATATATATATATATATATATA